CAAGGTAAAGGGCTGTGTCCCACAAGACTGCCGCCACTTCAAATGCCAATCACAAGTCTGATAATGTCACCTTCATGTCTGACCCATCAACTCTGAATCAGGGATTCCCACATCAGGCTTGATAAGTTTTTATTATGGGTCAGAAAATGCAGGGAACTACCCACTTACATTTATTTCCCAGCAGAACAGTCTCCTTGCTGACTCCAGCAGACCCCTTCCTGGCACCTTTATCCGTTCACCAAAAAGGAAACTCTCCAAACCCCTTTAGGTTTTTGTGGAAGTTCCTGTCATAACTCGGATTGATTAAAATGCTTTACATTGATGATTGATTTCTATCTCCAGCCCGTCTCTCTTCCCCAGAGGCTACAAAGGCACACTGAAAATTCCAACCTTCCAACTTAGCTGGTTTCTCTGGCAACCAATCTCATCCGCCCAGAGCCACCTTATCGTCATCAACTGAAATGGAGCTGAAATGAACTTATAAACAACAAAAAATGCACCTGCCACCTCACTCACTTAAGAAACCCCTAGGTTTTTAGGTTTTTCTCAGGAACCAGGGACAAAGGCTAAATCTGCATTCCTTATTATGTCACAATATCCCTGGATTATAAACATCATTGAATCCAAGCCAATCTCTTCATTTTATGAGTGAAAAGATGCACAGAGCTTGAGGAACACCTTAGGCTGTCTGCTGGTAGGTCTCCTGTTTCAAAGCACATGGAGCATGCAGCTTCCGAATGTCACTGTCCAGGAGAGGGGACTGTCATTAGGAGACAGTGGGCAGAATTTGGAACTCCCTACCTACCCTCCTTGTGTCTGGGCCCTTGGACGTGTTGAACTTAGTCAGGCTCCATATAAGATGTGAATCCTAGAAAGTTGGAATAAGTTGACAATGGGAACTGATGGAATCATGATAGAAAAGGAATAGGGACAGTAGCAGAGGAGATGGGTCCTTTGGCTATGAGAGCAGATAAGGGACAAAAAACCTGAGCTGGATGAAGACAGAGAAAACATCAGTTAAATCCTTGTTCACACAGTGCCAGACACTTGCATATATGTTCATGGAATCCCCCTAGTTAACCTTTGGAGGTGGAATTTTAATCTCTGCTGACAGTAATGATTAAAGGTACTTTTTAAAATTCTGAATCCAGCAGTAATGTGCTAGTCAGCTTTCCATCACTGTGACAAAAATACCTGTGAATAATAACTTAAAGGAGAAAAAATTTATTTGGGCTCATGGTTTCAAGCTCTTCAGTACATGGTGTACTGGCTCCATTGGCTTTGGGCTTGTAAAGAGTCAGAAACACCAAGACAGAAAGGTATGACAGAGGAAAATTGCTTGCTCCAAAGCATCCAGGAGGCACAGAGGAGGTCCAGATGTGCCCTTCCAGGCACCTTCCTAACCACCTACTTCCACCAAGTATTCCCCACCTTCTGTTTCTACTGTCTCCCAATTAAGCCCTAAATCATGCATTGGTCAGCAGTACATGAGTCTTTGGGTCATGTTCCAGATTCAAATCATAGCAAGGAGGAAGATAGACTTTCTTTCATAGATCCATAATTCCCCAATCAGTGTCTCTCTTGTATAGAAACCGCAAACACTGAGGACCTAGATCAGGAAGGCGCAAGTCTCTGACCATGAAACAGGCCCTTATGTAGGAATCATGGAGAAGCCCGGGTGTGTCTCTGAAATTTCCCAGGAGTTTCAGACCCGTGGGTGGTTTTGCATTTAGACTCTCAGTAGGAGGCAGGTCAGAATCTCAGATGATGGGGTGGGAGGAAGGGGCAAGGTGGTAAAAATGGTCCCTTCATGCCTTGTTGCCTAGGGGAAAATTGCCATTTTACATTTCAATTAGGAGGGGCACTAAGGTCAATCATCAGTGCCACTAGAGGAAAATGTGCCCAGCCCAGCCCTGGGCCTCTCCAATTATTATTAATGAAGTTACTCTCAGAACCATCAACCTTTTTATATGCAAACTAGGCCCTTATGAGGCCACTGCTAATCAGGACTCATTAGAGAACTCCTCACAAGCCTCAGCATCAAACAAGAAACAACCGAGAGAGGCTTCTGCTCCTCCTGATCCAGGACAGGAAGAGTCCAGAGCCTCCAGGCACGGTTCTAGCCCAGCTCCAGAGGGTTTTGCAGCCTTGAACTCAGAGATCCCTGCTGACCAATCATCCTGTCCCAGAATATTTCTTCCTGTCAATAGGAACTTGCTCTTTCATGAAAGGGAGAGAAGTTATTGGCATCTGAGTTGAGCAGCTGCCATCTCATCCAGGGACTCTGAGCCATTACTATTTCCTCTGCCACTTTCAGTTTCTTAACACAGTAGGTGTCCTTTAGGCTGGTTGGGGGCCTCTCAGATTCCAGGTACCTTCAACACATGGTCATGGTTGGTATCATGTTTGTGTAAGAGGTGAAGGTGAGCGGCACAAGTGCGTCCTGATTCTCGCTCCCTCTGCCACCATAGACATGGCTGCCTGCGGGGAAGGCTGCCCAGAGCTGGGCTGAGGGAGGGTTGCGTCAGGAAGGTGAACGTGGATCATTTTGCCGACAACCCTGCTGCCCTAATTCTCCGGCATCGCACACCTCCCACTTGTCCCACATTTCCATCTTGCTGGAGCATAGGCTCAGATGGCAACCAAGGGACACAGGATGGAGCCACTAAGATTTGCCATGCTGCTACCTCAAGGTCTCCAGAGACCTGCTTGTCTTAAAGCCTTGGAGCCACATGCAAGGTCAAGGCCAATGCTGTCACTTCTAGGGTGTGTGTGTGTGTGTGTGTGTGTGTTGGCCCCTGCTCCCTTTGCTGTGACCCTCCTGCTTCTCTTGGTTTAGTTTCTATTATATTTTAATATAAATACAATACATATGTGATTTAAAAAATTACCATTTTAACCAGTTTTAAGCTACAGTTCAGTGGTATTTAGTACATTCACCATGTTGAACAACAATCCCCAGCACTCCCAACTAAAATTCCCTCACCGACTTGACAATTCCCCTCCCTTCAGACACCATCACTCCTCTTTCTGTCTGAGTCTGGCTGTTCCAGACATCTCATGTGGCAGAATTGCGCAGCATGATGTACATACTTTTTGCAACTGGCTTACTACACTTAATATAAGCTCTTTGGTGCTTATCTATATTATATGTTCCATGTATCAGAATTTCTTTCCTCTTAAAGGTCAGATAATATTCCAGTAGATGGATATAACATTTTGTTTATTCATTTGTCCATCCATGGACACATAGGTAGCTTCTACCTGTGGCTAATCTGAATATGCTATTGGGAACATGATGTGCAGTATATGTTCAAACTCCTGCTTGCAGTTTCTTGGGGGATAATCTGAGGAGCAAAATTGCCATCAATTTTTGATGCTTCCTTTCACCCTGCTGAAGAGTGGAAGGGATTATCTGATGGGCCCAAGGACTTCCCCAAACAAGGCCTACTATGGTCTCACCCTCTCCGGCTCTCTCCCTTTTTCCTAGCTTCCTTCCCAGCTTCTTACCTCTCTCCTTGTCCCATTTCCATGTCCCCTGCCTCCTTTTCCCTATCTGTTCTTTCCGAGTGACCAGCAAGAACAGAGAAATAATCACCTCCAGTTGTGGAATCATGACCAGTTGGGATGGACAGGGCCCTGGAATCCCACCTGACTGACAGCTGAGAAAGCTGAGTCCTAGGGTAGGGGTGTGGCCAGGGCTTCACAGACTATCAGAACTTGACCCTTTTCTCCAAGTTTTATCTGGTCACAAAGCAGCCGTAGGTGTCATGGGGCTCTTGAGACCCATTAGGGACACTTGCCACTGGTCTGATTACCTGGGACTACTCCAGTCTGCATGTGCCCATGGTTTCCTTTCTGTTTCATTCTGCTGGGGACCAGTACTGGGGTAGGGTAAGCAGCCTCTGCTGAGGGTAAACCGTGGGCCCTGACAAAGCATGCCTGATATAGGTTCCATACTTCTTGTGGTCAGCCTACTCATCTTTCTTGGTGTGCCCCGGACAGTGCTGTGGAAGGTGGAGCTTAGGGAATGGAGGGCCCATGCTAGGCCCTGCACACATCACTGCTGCCCATGACATCAAGCCAAGAACCCTGACTCTCCCACCCATCAACAATCCAGCTCCCTCCCATCATGGCTCTCTTTCCTCTGACCCCATTCTTCCCAGCCTTCTCTGGACAGAGCTATCTATCTATCCCAGGTTCAGAGGGACCTGTGATCCATGTCCTACAAACCTACAGGCTCTTGGGTTCCCACACAGCTCCAGAGCTGAGTGTGCCGATTGCTAGTGCTTGGGATCAGTCCTATCTATTTCCTTATGTTTGGGCCATGCTCAGAGCTCAGACAGAAGTTTCTGGATTAGAAAGGCTAGTGGAGCCTCTCAAATGCCGGGCTTAGCCCATACATAGGAGGCCCTCATGGGCCCTCCAGCTGTGGTCCAGATTCTTGCTCCAGAGACCAAGTCACACCCAGGCCGTGCTCCCTGTGGCTCCTCTCACATGGCCCATCTGTTCCAAGTTCTGCTCCCTGGCACTTGGCAGGCAGAGAGGACATCAAACCCTGTGGGGCAGCATGCCCAGGCAACAGGGTCAGTCTCTGCAGGACAGGAGTGTCATGGGAGGGAACCACAGGATTGTTGAGCATCTGGAGCAGAGGGGAGGCATGAAAGTGAAGCTGAAGCACTGGGGATTGAGCTCAGCAGTAGAATGCTTGCCTAGTAAGCTGGAAGTCCTGGGTTTGGTCATCAGCACCAAAATCAATCAAAAAATAAACCTCCCCTAAAGTGAAGCTGAAGAAGCCAGGGATAGCCTGAATGAAGAGCAGCCTCAAGACGGTGACACGAGGACTTGGGGTTAACAGCATTCTCTCCCTACTATGCCAGCGTGGGCACCCGATGGCCATGTGGTCTGTGTCTGGATAGAAGGGCCACATCTGGGGAATACTGCAGCCTGCCCCCATGGTTTTGCAGCTGCCCAGTCTGAGCCATGCCCTCTATCCCCAGGACTGCCCCCAGCTGCTGCGTGTGGACAAGATCCTGGTGCCTGTAGAGGTGATCAAGCCCATCACACTGAAGGCCAAGAACCTCCCCCAGCCACAGTCAGGGCAGCGTGGCTACGAGTGCATCCTGAACATCCAGGGCAGTGAGCAGCGGGTGCCTGCCCTGCGCTTCAACAGCTCCAGTGTGCAGTGCCAGAACACTTCGGTGAGTCACCTGCTCTGCCACCATCACCTAGAGCATGGCTGCAGCTGTCCAGGCCCCCAGCACCCAATCTGCTTAGTTCCCTGCTTCCCTACCATGCATGTCAACCCTAGCCCTGTCATCCAAACCCCAGAAGCACACTGGCTATGAGGCCACCAAAGAGAACACCGAGTACTTGGCTCTCCTTGTAGCCATATTGTGAAAGGGTAACCTGGAAAAGGATGTCCAGCCTTGCATGGGGCTCCTGTAACCCTGCATGTAGGCAGATGTTTTCACAGGGTGCTGGATCCATAGGGCTTCCTTTCGGTCCTCTTTCCTGAGAGTCCCTCTAGAAGCCTGGGCCTTGCATTCTATCTGTCCTGTGCACTGCATTGGAGGCTCCAAAGGACCCAGAGCCTTCAGACCTACACAGAGGCTGTGTATACAAATACAGCTTCAGGACAGAATAGGTGGCAGCTAAGGGAACCATTGAAAATGAACAAGAGGGAGCCAGTTGGGTGGGAGCCACTTAGATAAGCTCAAGCCCTGCCCAGGGCTTACAAACTCTACATACAAGTCCAAGCTTCACCATGAGCAACCTGCCTACTACCTACCCAGCCCCTAAGAAGTACCGTTGTCCCCAGCAGCCTCATTTCTCCTCACTCAGTGCTTTCTAGCCAGGGCTTTGGTCTCTCCCACTCTTTCTGGGTCACTTTTCTGCACCCAGATGTTCAGAGACCTGCATGGGGCATATGGACTCACAGCCTTCCCAAGCGGTGAGAAAGCTTGTAGTTCTTCACTGTGAAAAGGGAAGAGGACAGAGGCCCAAAGCTGGGCCAGATACAGGTCGGTGGGGCTCAGACTTATATAATCTGGGGACCTTTTCTAAGATCAAAGTGTAGTAAGTACACAATAAGATTTGGTGACGAACCTTAGCAGGCACCCTGACAACAAGGGCAAGAGCTACATCTGAGGTTCCATATACTTTGGGGTAGCCTTCCCTTTGCAGATGAGATGCTTGCTCAAGGTCACATAGCCAGTGAATGGCAGGGCTGGCTGGGTCTGAGCTGCCCTCCCAATGTCATGCCACCTGGCATTCACCCCCTGGTTGCTCCTGAAGACTTACATGAAGTATAAGTGATGTGCAACTGGGAGCACCCCCCATGAAAGACTTCAGAGGAACTCCCTTCTTCTCCTGAAGAAAAGGGTTTGTGGGGGAAATGGAGCCCAGAGAGGTCTACATGCTTCCCCCAGCTCTCTCACTGGAGCAACATTGGCATCTGTCTGTCTGATGTTGAATTCTGGGGATTTCAGAGTTCAGCAAGTCATCTAGCTCCTCCCTGGGAGGTTGACATCTGGAGACCTGATGTGCAAGGACACAATGGGTACCTCTGCTGCCAGCCCTGGTCCAGGCCTTCATGCCCCTGGGTGCCCAAGCTCAAGCATTTCTGGATCTGCTTCCAGGAGCAGTGGGCACAGCACTGGCCTGAGGCCAGGAGCCCGAGACTCTAACCAGCAAGGGGGTACCTGGGGTCCAAGCTCAGGGCCCTCTCTCCACTTCCCTGAGAGCTGGGGAGGGGTCCCCCTGGACTCTGGCCTCCCTAGCTGGGAGCCACCCTGTGGCTCCAAGCAGCACTGAGACGTCTGGGCCAGGGCTCCCAAAGTACTCTGCTCTGCTGACTTTGTCTGGATGACTTTCTTACACCCAGTAATGAGGAAGTTTGTTTCTCTCCATTTTAAGTCTGAGACACGGCAACAACAGAAGGGCTATGCCAAAAAGAGACCCTCTCCCCACAAGGATCCACTGGGAGCTCAAAATTCAGGAGGGCTCGGTTCTCACTTTTCCCAGGATGCTGTCTTTTCTTGGGGGTACATGGGATCCCAGTGTTTTGCTGGTCTGTCCAGGATGCTACTTGCTGCCAAGTGAATTTCTTAAAAATATCTCTTAAGCAGGGACAAGCCCTCTCCTCCTTAGTCGTAGAACAGAGTACCAGCAGGTAGAAATGGATCTCGTAGCATCTTCTAGATTTTGTCAGTGCAGGGGCTGCAGAGGGTAAGTGTCCATCCCCAGACCACACAACAGGGAAGTTGCAAATTCAGTTTGAACAGTTGCCTAGCTCACCACCTAATCCAAGGTTGGGCAAAAAACAGGCAGCAGAATTCTATATTCCCAGCTTTGGTGTTATCCCCAAGAGCAGGCTCTGATCAGCATCAGAGAGGATTGTGTAGAACAGATTGTTTTGTTTTCTAAATCCATGAGCAATCTGGAGTCAGGGAGGAGGATGGATCTAACAGTGAAACCTCTGGGTTTATGATAACAGCAGAGGTTAGTCACAGAGATCTCAAAGGAAAGCAGAGAAAAAGGGGACACAGAAGCAAGAGTGTGAAGATGGCACTGGGCAGGATGAGCAGGTGGAATCCTTCCAGCCCCACTATTTAGGAACAACCCTGGGCCAGTGACTACAGCCCCTGGGACAGTGGGAGGAGAAGAGGCAGCCCAGCCACAGAGGGGGAGCCACCATGGGGATGCATGACCTACTTTAGACCAAGGCTCCAGGAAAATGTCAAGTGCTGCTAATAATAGAGCTCGCAACCTCCTCTCAGGCACTGCAGTCACGCAAGAGAGGGCCGCAAAGGGCATCGGCTGGCTGGAGTTCTGGCTGTGTGGGCCAGGGACCCAGGCCCTGCTCCCGCAGCCTCATGCTAGCTCGTGTTTCACCCAGACCCTTTCCCGCATGCAGAACAGAGGAGTGGAAGGAGCTGGGTAAAGAAATTGTCCCTGATGCACAACTAAGAGCAGAAAGCCCTAGAGGCAGACACAGTGCATGATAGTATCTCATTCCCTAGGCCTGTTGGTCCATGGGTCAGAAATTTCCAGTGAAACATCTCAGAGCTCAAGAAAGGGACTGCTTGGAGGCAAGAGTGTCTCAGCTCTGCAGAGATCTTCTCTGCTTTAGAGGGAAGGAACGTAGAAGGTCACACTTTCTTGAGGTGTTGGGTCATCATCCATTAGCCAGGCTACATTGTGCCAGGTCTTGATTGGGACACTTAACCCCCTGGCCTCCAGGAGCCTGTAAGCTTCA